GAAGGGGCTCACTGTGCCGGCCGGGGTGGCTGATCCCCGAGTGGGGAGACTGGGCTGTTGCTCCCTCCGCACGGGAGGTGAGGAACGGCACGAGGGAGCCGGGGGTCTGGGCTTGGGGCCACGGGAAGATGACAGCAGCCCAGTCCAGGCAGGGCCACTGATGACCCGACCCTCTGGGCACGAAGGTTTGGGTCAACCACCGAGGACAACTGCAGCCAGCTGAGGGGCTCGCTGAAGGCACAGGGGGTCCAGAGCAGGTGTCGGGGGAAGGCAGTTACGAACACGGGCTACAGCCTCACGGCCAGTCACAGAAACCAGAACTGCCGCTGTGGAATTTATTTCCTCCTTCTGCTGTCGTTATCGTTCGGTCACCAAGTCGTGTCCAACTCTCTGCGACCCTGTGGACTGCAGCAGGCCAGGCTNGGGCTCGCTGAAGGCACAGGGGGTCCAGAGCAGGTGTCGGGGGAAGGCAGTTACGAACACGGGCTACAGCCTCACGGCCAGTCACAGAAACCAGAACTGCCGCTGTGGAATTTATTTCCTCCTTCTGCTGTCGTTATCGTTCGGTCACCAAGTCGTGTCCAACTCTCTGCGACCCTGTGGACTGCAGCAGGCCAGGCTTCCCTGTCCTTCACCATCTCCCGGAGCTTGCTCAAACTCAAGTCCATTGAGTCGATGATGCCATCCAACCATCTCACCCACTGTTGCCCCCTTCTCCACCTGCCCTTCTGCTCTAAGTGTCACAGAAACAAACAAACCTGGGGTTGCTCTCCTGCGTGCAGTGGAGCCAACCTCCTGACATACGGTTGTGGGGAAGGAAAGCCCAGCCTTTACCGCAGGTGCCAAGCAAGGATTCCAGGCAGCTAATGCTTAAGAGGCCTGAACTCCCTGAAGACTCATAGGGTGAGGGAAGGGAGTGATGAGTGATCAGGATGAGTGATCAGCTTGTGAACCTTCTGATTGGTTGGCAGTGAGGTAATTGGGAGTTGATAACAACCTCTGATTAGAACAAGTCTGGGGTCTGCCTGCTAGTAGGCAGCATGCAATCTCTGCCTGGTGAGTCTCAGTACCTGCAAAACAGCTCAAGGGACATGGCTCAGAATCGCATCTACAGCCCTGGAGGAGGAACTAAGTGTCCTTGACTTGAATGGCTAAGCTATTCTTTTGTTTTGCTCAACTGTTTTCTTTCTGCATTTTCTCATGTCTCTGATTCCATTTAAAGTTTTCCTACACACAAGGCAGGCAGGGGACCTGGCAGGGTGTGCGGGGAGGGAGGCTGTGTTCTGGGAAGGTCCCATCAGGTCCTGCTTGGTATTGTAAGCATGAGTGTATCTCTGTTTCTTTCCTGTCTTCTCGTCACGTCACATGAGATGCACTGACTTTGAGTCACAGCATTGAGACCTGGGATCTTACACTACAGTGTTTAAGGACGTCGGGAGAGAGGGACACACCCCCAGGCCTTCTCCTCCTCTTCCGGGGCAGGAGCGCACATGCTTTCGCTTGTAGGCAGGACACCTGTACCACGTGAGGCAGAACTATGACCTTTCTATCGCCTTTGTCTGGAGCTCAGGCATGGTTTCAGGAGGTGGGTACAGGTGCTGTGTTGACAAGGGGTGGACATGAGATGGTCAGTTTTGAGTGTCAACCGGCCCAGTCCACAGGTGCCCCGATTAGACTTTATTTCTGGGTGTGTCGGGGGGTGTTTCTGGATGAGGTGAAGATTAGAATCAGCACCCACTCCAGTGTGGACCAGCATCACGAAGTTCGCCGAGGGCTTGAACAGAACAACGGATGCGGTGGGAGGAATCCACCTTTCCTCCTCCATCCATCTGCTGGAGCTGGGACTGCCCAGCTGGCTGTCTCCCGGCCCTGCACTGGGGCTTACACCACCAGCCCCCCAGGTTCTCAGCTCTCCACACTTGGACAGGATCCCACCAGCACATGGGCTTTCTGGGTCTGCTTCCTGCAGACAGGAGATATGGGGCTTCCCACACTCTACCATCACATGACCGGGTTCCTCATCATAAATCTCTTGTTAGGTATCATCTGTTTCTCTGGAGAATCCCAACTGGTCATTAGTGGGTATGATGCTTTACATCTGGAAGTAGTCCATGTCCCATGACTCCTGCCCACCCCACTGGGTTCCAGAAGGTTCTGGACTGCCAAGTGACCTGGGCACACAGGTGGGACTCCGGCACAAGGGCTGCAGCACAACCTGTGGGCCTGGAGAAGCTGCTGGCTTGGCCCAGAATGACTGCCCGCCTCCCACTTGTGCCCTGACCCAGAGAGTGCACTTAGGCAGCCAGGGAGGAAGGCCCTGGAGGGGTGGACAGGGAGGTGGGCAGCAGCCTTGGGCTGCAGGAGGAGTGAGGAGCCCAGGCCAAGCCAGCTGGCAGTCAGCCCCGCTCGCCCTCACCCAGGCATGGAATTCGCCCGGCCTCTACCTAACCCAGTTCCTCCCCGGGGGAGGCCCCAGAGGGTCCAGACAGCTCCATCACTCCAAGAAGGGGGACCCAGAGCGTCTCCAGACCTCACGTGTCCCCAGGGTGCCCCACACTTTCAGGGTCTGCACCCCAGGCCCACGGGGCCCAACGTGATTTCAGAGTGGGCAAGCGCTTAGCCTTGGTCACCCTGGAGCAGCAGTTGGCGTGTCTCCCTGGAGCAGCAGGACACTGGGCTGCAGGGACCTCTCAGGGTCAACGGCAGAGCTGGGCCTGGACTGCAGGCTCCCCTGTCCCCAGCCACTGCCCACTCCTGCAGTGGCCAGCTCCAGAGCCACCTCTTCCTGATCCTTTGTGCTGGACATGAGGTCCCCTTAGCGAAGCAGGGTCATGCATGACCTGGGCACGGGCGGTGCCCTGTGGACACAGAGAGAAGGGCACCTGTCATCCCGCGTGGAGCCCTCAGATGGACACCCAGGATGAGGGGCACGCTGTGTGCAGACGGATCCAGGCAGGGTTCCGGTGACGCAGCCTCAGAGCTGAGCTCAAGGCCAGTGCAGAGGGGGGCCTAGGCTTAATCCCCAGGGCCCGGGCATGATCTGACTCGCCGGGGTAATGACCCTCCTGCTTCCAGGCAGTGGACAGATGCGAGGGGGCAAAGCCGGAGCCCAGGAGGCCGGGTGGAGGCGGAGGCAGCCCCCAAGACTGTCCGGGGCCTGGAGGCCCCGCGGAAGTTCAGGCAGGGCCTTGTTTGCAGGACTCAGGAATTTTCCCTGGCACCCTTGACATGGGCAGGCAGATTCCTATCTGGCTGGGGGTTTGCCAAACAACCCTCAGGGAAGAAGGGGGCGGCTCTTACCAGAGAGGGGGTGCAGAGGCGAGCCAGGCCTTCCGCTCCAAAGGGACCCGATTCCTACCTGGATTGCTCCACTGGCCAGAGGTGTGACTGTGGACACATTCCATGTCCTTTCTGAGTCAGCTTCTTCCTGAGAAATGGGGCCCCACACCCACCCGGCTCCTGGCAAGTGCTAGACTACAGGTCATTTCCTACAGCAGGCAAGCCGAGCAGACTTGCCAGAATCCTTCATGGGAACAGGAGCCAGAGGGCACCACCAGGCAGGCAGTAAACCCTCGCCGTGGTGCCCTGCGGGGTTCTTGGGAGGCGCCCCAGCCTCCCACCCCTTCCCCATGCCAGCACAGTAAGTCAGCTCGAGGTAGCTGGGCCCGCCCCTCACCCCCGCCCTCCATTCCCAGAGGTCCTGGCCCGAAGTTTGGTCACTTTTCGGGAAAAACCTGCGGGGTATGGCCTCCCGAAGGCACAGCCATTTGGCTGGCCTTCCCAGGCCGCGGGGCAGGACAAAACTCTCCCATAAACGGCGCACGTCCAAAGTCCCTGCCCCCTCAGGCCCCGAAAAGTACCCCCGTTGGCCAGGGGGAAAGGCGGCTGCCCCTGCCCCCCAACCCGACTTCCCCCACCGGCCAATCCCAGCGCATGGGTAGGTGGCCGGTGCTGGCACTGAGCGAAAAGGGTCATGAAGGCGGGTAGACATCCACGGGTGAGCGGCCCGAGGGAACCGGTCCAAGAAGGGAGGACGGTTTGAGGGGAACATGGAAAGCGGAGGAAGCTTCGAGAGCGGGGCAGGGGGAGACGGGCAAAGGAGAAAGGCAGGCGGACTGCAGCCCGGGTCCGAAGCGGACTGAGCGAATCTCCAGGCCCTTCGCCTCAAAGATGCGCAAGGCCAGGGGAAGACAGGCAGCTGGGGGAACGCGCCCCAGGAGCCAGACCTTCGCACCCCCCGACCCCACCCCAGCGCGCCGAGTCTCCACCACTTCTTAAGCCCCGCCTTGGCGGGAGGACGGAGTGGCCCTCTCGCAGGCCCCGCCGAATAAAGATGGGCGCCCGGCCAGGAGCAGGTGCTCGTGGGAATGCGCGCCCACCAGGGTCGCCGGGAGGGGCGGGGCGGGGCCGCGCGGGCGCCGAGCTTTGTTAGAGACGCTCCAGGAGCCACGCGTCTGGCGTACACGCTTCCTCCCAGGGGCCGGGCGTGGGGCCGCGCCCGCCGCGATTGGCCGAACGGGCGGCCCGCCATTGGCTGAGGCCCCCCCACGCCCCTCGGCCTCAAGGGGCGGAGCGTGGGTGCCGGCTGCCCGGCGCGTGCTGCCCCCGGGGGGCTCACGAGCCTCCCGAACGGCCGCACCGCGGCGGTAGACACACCCTACCCCCAAAGGCGGACGGGGCTGGGGTCGTACCCAGGACCTGTGAACAGCAGCTTCGGGAGGCGGGGGGCGGTGCTGCGCACGCGGGACCCGCGGACTGCATCTCGGGGGCGCACTGGGCCCCTGCTGGAAACAGGGACCCACTGGGGGCCTGCGGGCTGTGCCTGGGGGGCTGGGTGCGGTCTCCGGAGGCTCACGGCTCGGTCTTTGCAGACTGTGCGCCAGGGGTTGGGCGAAGCGTGGCGCGAGGGGGAGGCAAGGGAAGGAGGGCGTGAGAAAGGAGGCGGCGGAGGGGAGGAGGGTTATCTATATATTCAAAAACGCGCCGCCTGCGCCGCTCAGGGAAGACCTGGCGAGCGTCTGACAGCACGCGCAAGTCACGAGCCCCCCACGCTCCTTGGCGCGCACTGGCCGCCCTCTCTCTCGGTCTCCTGCGCCTCGCTGTCCCCGGACCCCGGACGACCTGGGGTCGCGTACCCCGGGGAGTCTTGGCAGAGCAGTGCCCGATCGTCGTTGAGACTTGACCGGCGTTCCTCCGCCCTCGGTTCCTCGCCCTCCACCTTCTTGCGGCGCGCAGAGACTCGGGGGAGGCGCGGAGCGAGTGGATGCAGACGCGATGGACAGCCGAGCGCTGCCCCGGCCCGCGCCCCCGGCGCCTGGTGTCCCGGGCTGCTGCGCCGCTCGGCGGCGACCGGAGTCCCCAGAGCTGCTGCGCTGCAGCCGCCGGCGGCGGCCCGGCGCGGTGGATCCCGGCAGTGGAGCGGCGGCCGTGGCGCGGCGCAATGAGCGCGAGCGCAACCGCGTGAAGCTGGTGAACTTGGGGTTTCAGGCCCTGCGGCAGCACGTGCCGCACGGCGGTGCCAGCAAGAAGTTGAGCAAGGTGGAGACGCTGCGCTCCGCGGTGGAGTACATCCGCGCCTTGCAGCGCCTGCTGGCGGAGCACGATGCTGTGCGGGCCGCGTTGGCCGGGGGGCTGCTGGCCCCGGCCGCGCGCCACCCCCTGCCCCGCGCGCCATCGGGGACCCCCGCCACCGCCGCCTCGCCCTCTTGCGCCTCGTCGTCCCCGGGTCGTGGGCACAGCTCGGAGCCTGGGTCCCCGCGTTCCGCCTACTCGTCGGACGACAGCGGCTGTGAGGGCGCCCTGAGCCCCGCGGAGCGCGAGTTGCTCGACTTCTCTAGCTGGTTAGGGGGCTGCTGAGCGCCCGGCCCCGCAAGGTAGGCTCCGGGAGGCGGGAAGGAGGGAGGGCCGGAGGCTGGGCGGCTGGGCGCGGTGGGGACAACGGCCTCGCTGCTCGCGCCCCCGAGAACCCGCGAGGCCCCGGGCGACGGCCTGGATTTCGCTCACTCTTTATTCCCCCCCAGACTTCTTCAAGCCTGTGCAAGACCAGCGTTTGTTTGTCCGGGATTGCAAAACTTCCCCCTCGCTGCTCCGCCGCTGTAGGGGGAGCGGGGAGACGGAGGGCTGGGGCGGGTGAGGCCCGAGTGTTTGCGGATCTCGGGGCAGACTAGGGCGCTGGGAGGCGGAGAGACTTTGCATTGCAAATTGCGCGCCCGGCCCGGTGGCAGAAATGAGTCGGCGGGGCGCGGGAGCCCTGACTCACCCCTCCGAGCGCTCGCCCCGCCCGGAGCCCGGGCCGGGCCACACACCGAAGCCGAGGCTCCCACGGAAACCTGGGCTCCAAAACCCACCCAGAGAACGAAACTGCCAACTCCGCTTGTGGGGGTGGGAAAGGGCCGGGCTGCGCGGGGTCTCCGGGCCGGCTCCCGCACTAACGCGCGTGCCTGTTCCCCCTTCCCTCCCAGCGGCGGGAAGCGCGCTCACCCCTGCGGAGCCAGACGGTTGGAAAGGCACCCGCCTCCGTGTTCCTCGTTCCGCGGGCCAAGCCACCACCGAGCCGGGGATCCAGCCGACGCTCCCCGGCCATCCAGCCTGACCCAGGGCTAGTGTGGAAGTGGGTCCAACCTGACCTCCTCTCGCTGGCAGCTTCCTCGGATCCCAGCCACCCTGTCCGCAGAGACCTTCCACTGGACTGGGGCTGTGGAACCGACATTTGGAGGTTTGAAGGGGAAAGAGCTTTATGACCTCGCAGATTATGTTTTTTTATGAACGCATGGACTTGAACTGCTCAGGGACACTGGCGGTATGAAGGCTTATTTTTGTACAAAGAACCCTTAGATTTAGAACACAATAAAGATTGTTTATTCCCGCTATTCCCTCTTCCTGGAAGTTTGGAACCTGGCTGACATCTCCCGTGCCACAGCCCTTGGGCACAGTCCCTGGTGGGCGTCCCCTTGCAGCTCTGCCAGATGGGGAGAGACCAGCGTCTGAACACCTGTTTTAGGGAAGGTGGATCTATAAACAAACTAGTGCTGTGTATCAGTGTGTGGGGGGGTACCCACTCCATACTCCTGAGGCCCCCCATGGCCCAGGCGAGGGTCCCGTGTGGGTGGGAGGGTGGAGGCTTCGGCCCTGGACCCAGCAGGCCCACATCTGTGGCCGCGTCTCCCTGGACTCTGCCCCTCCTTCTGAGGGTCGACCTGGTGGCCGCTCTGCCAAAGCAGTTCACAGTGGGGCTGGGGCTCCCGTCGCGTGTCGGGACGCTGGAGGGTGGTCCAGGCAGGGCTGCCTCACGGCTGGGACGCTGAGGCCTGCAGGCTGCTAATTGGAGCGGGGCTCTGGGGCAATGCCCAGCATAGGGCTCAGCCCAAGGGGCTCCGACCTTTGGGCCCCCAGGCCGCCCTCTGTCTCGGGGTCCAGGTTGCTGCATTCAGATCCCCGCTGTCCACCACCAGCCGGGTGACCCAGGGCAAGGAGCTCCACCTGCCAGTGGGGGAGACCTACAGTTGTGGAAGGACGGAGGAGAGGTGTCTGGCTGTGTCCAGCCCACCATACCTTGCCCTCCATCGCCACACCTGTGGCTCCTGGCCATGTGTGCCCTGCAGACTGCAGAGGCCTGGGCCCTGCCCACCTATTTGAGGGTGGGGGTTGTGAGGGCCTCCTCTCAGAGGAACAAGGAGGCCCCCCCCAGGCTCCCCGAGCCCAGAGGTGATTACTCAGCCCTACCTTTGACCGGAGCCTCGGCGGCTTTGAAGTCTCACCCTGCCCAGAGCTCTCTTTTATTGCACGGCTGGGGGTGGAGCTGATGGGGATCCCCAGGCTGCTTCCGGATGCTGAAGGCACCCCTTTCTCCTGCGGGGAGTGGTTGGGTCACAGCCGTTGGAAGCCGGGCAGGTTGGGGCGACTGGTGTTGGCAGAGCGAATGTCTCCCTGGTGAGCAGGGTGACAGGCTGGGTGGGTGTGACGAGGCTCAGGCTTGGAGGGGTCAGCAGAGCGGCTGGGGACTGCGGGGCCAGGAGTGACCCGGCCTCGTCCAAGAGACAGAAGGAGGCATGTGACGTGGCCACCCGGCAAGGGCCATCCGCAGCCTTCCCCGAGGTCCACAGCCTGGTCGTGGCCTCGCCGAGCCTCTGGCTCCAGCCTCTGCTGGCTCTCCTTACCCTGACCCAGGGAAGGGCATGCAGCTCTCAGGACAGCGTGGTGGTGGGCAGGGTGGGCCCACACATAGGTGTTGGTCGGCGGCGGGGGGCGGGCATAGGGGGGATGCGTGGGAGGGGCAGGCCAAGGGGGACTGGTGATGAAATTCTGCCAAGGATAAGAGCTGCCATTTTTGTGCTTTTGGTTTTACGGAAAATCCCAAGCACGTGCAGAAGTTCCAGAACTTCCACTGGACATGTTCTCTGTGCCAGGCACGGAGGATGCACTGGTGCCCGAGTAGGCCCTGCCCTCATGGAGCTGATGTTCTAGCAGGGTACACAGGCTCCATCTAACCCACAAGTGACATTGTTATATCAGGCGTCCAGTATCCGGTCTGGGCAACGATGGACACGCCAGATCTGGGAGAAGGCTCTGAGAAGCCCCCATCACCAGCACCAAAAACTGAACACAAACCCATGGCTGTCCATGCTCCCCCCCACCCTCACATGGTTCTGAAGCAGACCCCAGACATCATACAGTTCCACCTGTAAATTCTCCAGATGAGCTTCCAAGGAGAACCCCAATACCTTGATCCCCCCAAATGAACAGCTCTTTTCTTGTCAAACACCCAGTCAGTGGCACAGTCCTCTGACTGCCTGTGTTTTCCAAGTTTGTGGTTTTTTTTTTTGACTGCCCCATGCATGACCACAGATCAGACCCGTGCCCCCTGTGGTGGACGCACAGACTCAACCACTGGGCCCCTGGAAGTCCTAGGTTTTTTATCATAAGGATCCGGTGCAGATCCGCACTGGAGTCTAGCCTCTCTTGAGCATCCCCTCCCCAGCTGCTTCACGAGGAAGCGAGGTCATCCGTGTCCCAGCATTGCTGATGGCACCACACCTGCTGGTGTTTGCTGGGTACTGGTCCTGCATCTCCTGTGACTGGAGGGGGCGGCTCAGAAGCAGAGGCGTGATCAGACTCCAGTTTGGCTCCTGGTTCCTGCGCTTCAGAGCATGTCCCCGGGTCTGCATCCCATGTGGTGACTGACCACTGATTGTCCGAGTGGGCTCATTTTTAAGAGAAGAGAGGGCTGTGTTTGATCAGGCAGGATGACAGGTGTTCGCGTGGGCAGGGTGGCCTGCCTGCTCACCCCAGGCAGAAAACGCCCCGTCCCCCCGCCAGTCGTCAGCTAGTGAGTGGGTGCCGATTGCTGCCCCCTGTATAGAACTGGAAAGCACAGCTCTGAGAGATGAGGTGCTGGAGGTCATAGGGCCTGAAGGGGATGGGACACGGGATTCAAACAGGGATGGCTTCATTCCTGAGTCCTTGCAGTGGCCCTCTTCCAGGAGGGCGGGGCTGCCTGGGGCTGTCCTGGGGGGCACACCTTAGCAATTCCGTGTTCCAGGCCAGCATGTTTGCTCAGGTCCCCACCATCAGCTCCGTGGTGGGGGCAGCGGGGCTCTCCTGGTGGCCTGTGACCCAGGCCTGGCCCCCCCCCCGCTGGAGATCGGAAGCCGATGGCAGACAGCAGGAGCCTGGGGCTAGGTGAGGAGCCCCCCTGTGGTGCGGAGGGAATGGTGCCTTGGGGTAAAGCTGGGTGGGACCAGGGGAATCTTTTCTAGAGGTGGACAGGTGGGTAGCATGGTCTGGATGACCACAGCCCCCGGGGGCACTCTGGGGGTGCTATGCCATGGGGGGTCATTATAATGTCTCCTTTATTCATGACAGCGGGTGCCCCAAGGCACCCTGCTTTATAGTCCCAGGAGGGTCTCTGTGGCTAAAACTCACCCAGTCAGAGAATGATGCGTCCCTGGGGCCAGCCTCTCGGACGCTGGAGTCCAACACGGGTGCCCGCTGGCCTCGTCTGATCTGCCAGTTCCCACGCTTGATCCTTCTGGAAACTTTACTGGGCTCCTTCTCTGTGTCCAGGTGCACCAGCGCCCAAGGGAGGCCCTGCCCTCCTGGGACCCGTGTTCTAGGGCCCACGGTACTGCCTGGCCCTTGGTGCACACACTGGTTCTGGGGAAACATCAGGGGCCCTGGGTGTTGTCTGCGTCACGGAGCGTCTCGGAGCCGTGTTCCCTGAAACGGAGGCTGCGGTGCTGACCTCGCAGAGCTGTTGCCTGTCCCGGGTGCTGGAACCAGTGCATCCCGAGAGGGGCAGTCGAAACCTCCGTGGTTCCTGCCTGTTCCAGGGCAGCCCCACCCTGGAGCCCCTGGCCCAGAGCTGGCTTCCTGATCTGCAGGGCCCACCTGTAAGGGTGAGATCACAGCGAGACACCCTTGTTCAAATATGGGGGGAAAGTGACGCTAAAGGTCTGGAAATAGCTTTTTCTTTTTTTTCCATGGCCTGTCTTGACTTGGTGTTTCAAACTTGATATTTAATGCCATTCAAGTAAAGAAAATTAATAATTTATTGGCATAAATTTTTATACTGTGCGATGCTAGTCTTAGATGTAGAGATAAGCGCGTTAACTGCCACACAGAATCACTGAAATGACGCTGCTGAAACATTGCAGCTTGCACGTGATTTTACCATTATGGAACGGCAGAGTCGCTGCAAAAACTAGACAGCCATGAGCTACCTGCACCCGCTCCCATCAGCTGTGGCCGAGGAAGGGCTGAAAGGAGGAAATTCTGGGCTCACCCATCCCCACTTTCATCCTGTGGTTATTTTCCACCTAAGTGGTGGCCAGTGCATGTGGTCCCTCGAGGAAGGAGGGATGGTGGGTGCCGTGCGTGTGCATGTGGAGCAGGCTCTGGCTGGACTGAGGACGTGGCCCTGGGGCTGTGGCACCCCGCCTGCTGGGTGGAGGATGCAACCTGCATCCTCGGGTCTCCCTGGGCCCCCACGTCGTGGGTCCCCATGAGTGCTGGTTCCTCCGAAGGGCCGGCTCGCACGTGGCCCGCATCTCTCTGCATCCGTGCATTCTCTGCTGGCCTGTCGACCTTCCCCTGCGAACAGTGGTGTTTGCCCTGGTGTCCGCCGAGCTCCAACGACTGGGAAGCTGGTGCGCACTGCCCCTACCCTTCACCCCTGGCTGGACTGGGGGAGCCATGCGGGGAGGCAGCCAGTGCAACGCGCATCATCTGACCCTGCTCCACGAAGAGGAGTGGCCAGAACAAGGGTGAGCCTGACCACGGAAGGGACCGGACATCAGCCATGGGATTCACGGGCTCACCTTCCCACTTGACAGAGACTGAGGGTTGGGTGGCCGTTCAGGGCAGGGGAGGGGCCACGCAGACCCCTCCCCAGTGACATGGGCGCTGGACTCCTCACCATCACACACAGGAGCAGTCCTGCGTGGCCTCGAGGGCGGAGGAGGGGGGACATGCAGGTGGCTGGATCCCCAAGGAGCTGGCGTGGAGAGGCCTGGATAAGGGCAGGGGCTGCATCTGCCCCCACGGCCTCGCCCAGGCCAGCCCTGCCTTCCTACCTGCGCTGGGTCCCTCCAGGCCCCTGGATCCTAGTGGGGGGTCCTCTGGGGGGAGGGCCAGGGCGAGGGAGAGTCCTGGGGCTCTGAGGCCAGGGAGCCACGAGAGGACCCTGCGGATGGAAGGGGCGTGGCCACAAAGGCCCTTTGAGAGGGTGAGGCTCTGCTGGACCCGGAGGGCGTGAGGGGGGTGCAGGTGGGCCCAGCAGAGCCCCTGCTGTTGGGTGGGAGCAGGGGGCACTTGTGGGCCTGGGGGGAGAGCAGGAGGAGGCTGGAGCCAATCAGGCGGGGCCAACAA